TCTCGACCTTTTTCTACAAAAGAAAAACTCTGAACTACGATAAAGATGATTCTTCTCGAATATCATAATTACAATGTGATTTCCTATGCACTTTGTACACGAGAGATGAAAAATGCTTATATTTTGGCTCTCCATCAAAAGTCTCTACCGACTCTTGCAGATCCTTAATCAGTAAGAAAATTAGTCAATCAGTTGACGATTCAATTTTCGTATCGTTCAGTTCTTATTTCCACGCCTTACAGTCATTGTAGATGGATCTTTACGTTAGGTTACGTTACACGTGAAATTTACACGCGACGTCGTCGCGAAAAGTTTGCGCGACGCTGCTTGAAATTTTCCACCTGACGCCGACACAACAGCGGAATGTTCGGAATTACAAAATCCACGATGTACATGAGCGCATAAAATATGCACCGTCCAAGTTTCGGCATCGTTGTTGAAGTAGCGACGAGAGGCGATTAAATGGCAGGCGATGGTAGTAAGGCAAACACGACATCTATGCACATACACACACGCGCGCGCGCGCACACACATACACACATATACAAGCAGACACGACCCGTGTACAAGCCATGCTAATTTGTACACCAAGAGAAGACGACTTGCCGACGATGACCTATTAATAGCGTTCGGGTGTAGTCACTTTAACAGGATTGTCCCTTGTACTTGATATATAAATTGAGTTAAGCTTTGTTGTCAGCCGATGCTACAATGTGGCCTGAATCGCGACTATGTAACGCAATCGCGTCTTGAGATTGAATAATCTCCATGGAAAATGATGAGACGATGCGCTCACCGAAGTTATCCGTTCCTGAAAGCTTCGCGACAACGTACCCCGCTAATTTCGTGATATTAAAATTATAACACCCACAAAATATAATCTCGTCCTCAACGGAATCCTCTTATGTATCAGCTCTAAAAGGGCTCTTTCAAAATCAAAGGGAGAATATTCCAAACACAATATTCTTACAGTTGGAGGAATTTCGTCCTTTATCTACGGTACAAGTTTTATACTGCTTGTCGCAGTTTTCGTGTGAATGCACACTGAGAGAAAAAATATTTAAACTGAAGAAGAAGAATAGCACTCAGAATGATCGGAATTAACTTCGCGACGTTAGAGCGACTCTTCTTGCACATCTCGAGCAACATTGTTCTCAGCACTGCTAATTAATGCTCACCGAGCCGACAACAATCGATAATTCGGTCTCTTATTAAAGTGATTAGCGGAATTTCCGTCGCCGGCGTGTCACAACGAGCGTCTGTCGATTCTCGCTGTACGAAACTGAAATTGATCAGACGTTTCTGCGACTGACGGTCCAATTACTTCCATAAGGCGAGCATCTAACGAACTTCTACACTGTGCATTCGCACCCGTTCGCTCGTCCATCCATCCATCCATCCATCCATCCATTCATCTACCCATCCATCCATCCGTCTGTTCATCTATCCAATCAACCAACCAACCAACCAACTATCCATCCATCCATCCTCCGTCCGTCCGGTCGGCCAAGCTTAAAATTAGACCATGAAACGAACAAGCCGGAAGCTTGGCCGAGCGAGCGAGCCGGGTAGCACCAAATTTATTTAGCGCAAGTGTGAATTCCACCCGGTGCCGGCGAATCCATTTATCCGAAGCAACCGGCTTCCTTCGACATACATCAGCAACTGCAGCAATTTACGAAGCTGCCGGTCAAAAGTCTCGCTAGGACGCGCGCCGACCGATAAAAGTGGGACAAAAGAGAGGACAAACGTCGCCGGCACTTTTCCGTGTCGATGGACAAGTCCGACTGTTTGTTCCGGCGGTCAAAGTTGCGCGTCATCGTAAGGGAAAGGACATTGTCCGTTCGGCGTTCGGTTTGTACATTTTCGTGCCGGAACTGCGCCCGTCGTTTCATTACGGGCACTTTGTCAGAGCGCGCTTGATTAATATCGCGTAATATTACAGAGGAAAAAATTGATTGAATTCATCTGAATTTACAAGTAAATGTTCCGGTTAGAATGTCTCGTTGTAGTAAACAGAAAGTCTGTTCATCTTCACCAGAAACGAGCAAGACATGTGACGTTAATTTAACCAGGTTAATTCAACTAGGCTTTTCTTTTCTGTGTACATTGCGTTTCGAACGAGGACAGACGGACGACGACACTTGGCATGCGTGTTAATGTGCTGTTGGAGATATCTTGTTTGCAAGAATCGCAAGCCTCTTGCCGCAAGAGGTGCCGTATTTTTGAGTACAGCGGCTCCACCACCGCGTGGCTTCATTTCGCATATAATCCGCACGCGAAATCAATTATCCAGGACTAATTAATTCCCAATTCCCAAACAGAGACTATACTCCGACGTGAAGCCGTAACATCGGCCGCGTATTGTTTACGCGGAAACTGTTATTCAGCCGATGACAGTCATTCGATAATTCGACGACAATTTCGAAACGACGTGACATTTGAAACACGAAGCGTTTTGCGCCGCGCGAGAAAGAAATAAAACTCGTCGTCTAAGATACCAATAAGCCAATAGACGAGACTGAAGGCGCGAAGGGTGGCTGTTAAAGGGTTAACGGCCACGACACATAACGCATTGGCCCGCGCGCTACGATGTCGTAAGCGGACGGCGTCGTAAAAGAAAATCGCGCCTGTGTGAAAACGTGCTAAAGCTGACAGCAAACTAGTCTCGCGCCATTGGTACGAGGGTAGTAATTAGCGGGAAACACAGTCTTTAAACCTGCGCAGCCATTCAGGTCGCCGTCGTCGTCGTCGTCGTCATCGTCGTCACAGGCACCGTAACAATGGAAAGAGAGCAGAAAGCTCGTAAAATTATCCACCGAGTCGCGCGGCGAAACGCAATGTTGTGTTGCGCGAATCTCGACAATGCAGGCGCACAATGCAGTCGCTTCAAATTACAGACGTAGCCTCCTTCTCGCGTCCCGAATCTCCGTCGCGTCACTTTTGAGCGGGCAAAGTGTGCGTCGAATGTAGACTCTCTGTCTGTGTCGTGTCCCCGGCGTGGCAAATCGTACGGATGCACTTGTGAGACTCGACGAGCGTGGTGACACGATCGACTTGCGCAAACACCGCAAAACCGCCGAGTGATATTATTCGCGTTCGTAGCTTCTCTGCTGAGTGAGGGCCGATTCATTCGACGCCCGCGTCAACTATCCCATTTCATAGCATTAGGTTAACCCTTTGCGGTCTACCCGACTCGACATAGTGGTCATTATGATGATCGCATTGGGATACACGGAGAGCCGTGTAGGCGCGTACCGGCAAGAATTTTGTAATAAAAACTGCTGCCCAATTTTGTGGCCGTGAAATGGAACAACGTTCTGCGGCAATTCACTGCTCATTGTTTGTTTCCATTCAACACCCATTTTGATATCATGAAATGATACCAACCAGATTGAAACCTGTAATACAACCTATTTTGACGTCAGAGAAAGTGAAAAGGGAAATTTCGATCAAAGGAATAAATTGTATCGTTAGAATGAAATCGACAAACTTAGTTCCTACTTGTAGAATTCAAGCTTTAACATAGGGTCAACATTTCGACTCGGACTAGCGACATATAGCAACAACTTGTATGAAAAAAGAAAAAAACTACAATATTCTCTCCGCGCAAGTAGGTGGGTCTGTACACACATATCGCGATCGCGAGGAGATACACGACCAAGTAACATTGCCACGAGATAGAATACGACGATGCGTGATTTTTAACCTCCGTGGGCCATTCGTTTTCGTTGCATGGCATTCCAGCATAGCTCCGGACATCAGCTCGCGGCAGCGGCGGCGGCGGCGGCGGCGGCACGTAATGGGAATGAGAAACGGGGATGTGGCGGAGGAGCAGCAGCAGAAGAGGGTACGAAAAGCGGGATACGCGAGAGATAAGTAATAACGCTGCTGCAGGTGGAATGCGGCGATCGAAGGCGAGGCGAAACGCCGGGAGGACTTCGACTCCGGCTGACCCCTCTCGCACACATCCGCGGCGGAGAGAGCGCAGAGAGGAGGTGTATAACGCGCACGCGACGTAAATTCGCGAGTAAACAAGGAGCGCGCGATCGAGAGTATATCGCGCGATTACTTCTCGCGCGGAATGGCGGCTGAAACGATCGCGTACACACACACGTCGCTTAATTTACCTTCGTTTAATTCAACATTGCCCCGCGAGACGCACGAGCGCAATAACGATCCGCGATGCACGACGTAGACGGAGATAATATTGTAATAAAAATTGCAATGCAACTTGTCCGATGATAGATTGGCATCATTACGAAAATTATAATAAGATTATAGCAAAACATTATTTTATTACAAAAATTATAATATAATAAAAATGACTATAAACAATCATTTTTATTATATTTATGGTGATTTTTATTGTGTTCATGGCCACTTTTATTATGTCTTATTATAATTTTTATCACAGTTATTTCCGGAGTACTAAAATTGTATTGTAATTTTTGTTGAATATTCTCTCCGTGTAGATTTGAGAGCCGCTGGCCGCGGCGGCGGCGGCGGCGGCGGCGGCGGCGGCGGCGGCGGCGAGGCAGGGCCGGCGGAGATCCGTGCGAAGGATGAAGGAAGGCGCAATAACAATATCGTCCTGCCCTTGCCACACGCAAGCAGGGGGTAACGTCCTGTTACACCAGTCTGACCACTTCGCGTCCCTCTTTCCTTAACCCTTCCCGTCTCGCGCGCGCAGACCGTTTTATTGTACTTTGCACCGGCCGCGCGCTTTCGCCTTCGCCGAACCGCCGACCGACGAACGAAAACGCACGTCGTGCGCGACCCGCTTTTTCGTAATCGCAATCTCATTCAGCGCGCGTTTGTTCCCGATGCGGCCGATGCAATAAGGTAAGGCGCGTCTCTCGCGAGAAAGAGAACACGGGAGAAAATGGACCGATTCTGCAAATTCATTACCTCGAGATCGAGTGTCGCGACTCGAGATGCGGCAAGGAAAGTACGCGCGAGAGCAATAATTGCCAACGTAATTGCCAACAGTCACTCACCGATAATGGTGTGCTCGCCCTCGCAGCCTCCGCGTTAAGTCAGCAGCGAGTCCTGCGCAATCAAGACAATAGCGATTTAGCTCTTGCCTAAGCTACGACTTTGTGTGTTTATGAATCATTAACCCAGATAAACAGGTGCACGTAAATGTCGCAGGGACTTCACTGATCGATTTGTACAGTCCCCTCCCCCCGTATATGAGTGCTTCAATTCTGCTGGTTACAACAGAATCGATCGACGATTCAGTTAACTGGAGTCATCCTGCTGGCAAAGTTTTAGACAGCTTCGCGAGCTCGCTTAACGTTGTTGTAATAATAACGAAAAATTTTCTACACACTGATAATTTCCACGCGCTGATAACAAACTACCCATCCCCGAGCGTGCATTGAGAAATTCTGTCGATCTATTATGTGTCTGTCTATCACTGAAACACTACACGTATGAAACACACACATACGAAAGTGTGCTGCTGCTGCGCGAAGAAGGCAGGTGTGATGATATACCGGGTTTAGTAGGAGACAATAACAAAATTATTTCAGCAGAATGAGATATCTATCGCGTCTCGGAGTGCGACCGGTATATTATCTGTGTTCTCACGCGCGAACAACGTGATAAAAAGGACAAGCACGCGCGTCACGCTTGAATATGCATCACGCGTCATCGTAAATCTGCAACTCGCGGATATATCATGGCACGGATTAACGCGCGGTCATGTTCATGCGGAATCATTATAATTGCAACGACTCCTCGAGCTACTTATATTCGCGCGCAGGTGAGAGGCCCGACTTAACGTAAACCTGGCGTCTCTAAAAGGAATGTTGCGAAAAGCCGCCGCGAGAGAAGAGAGAGAGAGAGAGAGAGAGAGAGAGAGAGGGAGAGAGAGGGAGAGAGAAAGAGAGGGAGGAGTGAGAGAAGAAGAGATAAATCGCGAGTAAACTAGGCGCGCATCTTACGCATGTATCCGTGCGAGGTCACCGCAATGTGCTCGCCACGAGGTTTCGCCGTCGATAAAGCTGTCCTTGTTAAATTCTCGGTTGCTCAAGCTTCGCATTCATTACGCGACGCGATCGCGGGACAATCGGCGGAGGCGTGAGCTTTTGCGCGTCCCACAAGCGAATTTCGAACGCGCAAAACACGAGAAAAAAAGAATGGTTATGTGAACCAGGAAATAGTAAAATATGGCACAGCTTTTATTTCTGACTTCAGTAACCAATTCCTGGTTACGTTGATTTATGCGACATCATTCACCAGCACTGCGATTCGTTGCTTGAAAAAATGCACTTTTGAGACAACGAATCGGTGGGTCAGCGCAACTGAAGCCAGAAAGAAAAGCTATGTCATATTTTACTATTTTTTTGGTTGACACAACTATTCGTTTTTTCCGTGTACTGCTACTCTGAGAGAAAAAGATCCCGCTATGTTGTTGTCTTTGATTGCACAGTGTAATTATAGACAGGAAGAATTCATAAAAAATTATAGTTAATCAATTATAGTTTTTCTAATAAGCGTTACTAATAATAAATCTATATGCATATTGCTCTCATCCTCAAAACAATATAATCTTGTCTTTAGCGGAAATCAGCTTTATGATTACACAACTTTAAAAGTATTCTTCTAAAAGAGAAATATTCCGAGCACAATATTCGTGAAGAAAGAGTTAAGGAAATGTCTTTCATCCGCGGTACAAGTCTCATTCTTAATAGAAATTTCTCCTGTGGTAATTTCTCCTGTACTCTCTTTCAAGTAAACACATTCCTTTTAAGATTCAAAAGGAAAAGAGAATAATATCCTAATATATTCCCGATTAGTAATTAGTTTCACTAGAAAAGGTGTTGCGATTTTCTTCTTTTGGTTTCAGAAGAATCCTCTTGAGGCCATATGTAAGAGAATTTCCGCTAAGAATAAGATAATACTTTTTTGGGTGTTGCTACGTGTATAATATTTCTTGGTTGGAACGGTGATGCCAGGTACGATCGCAATTTGTGATGAGATTAATAATTTTTTTTTCCTCTCGACGAAGCCGCCGGAGGTAGGAAATATCGACGTCGTTCAGCGCGACATAGACCGCTATTTAAATCCATCCACCTGCGACGAGAGGCGATCTGATCTCGGCGAGACGATCGACCGCGTTGCTACGCGCGCGCTATAATCCCCATAGCTGACTGACTGAGGCCAGAACCTTGAGCACAATTTCCCGATCACTGTCACCAGACGCAAATGCGAGAGCGAGCGAGCGAGCGAGCGAGCGAACTTCACTCGTCGACACGGCCACCCGCACGCCCGCGCGAAGCACGATCGAGCACTCTCAAGGCTGAAAATTCCAGACGCTCCGGGGATAGGTCAGGGACAATGAAACGTGCCAAACGCAGCTGCGGCTGCTGCACCCGAGGTTCATTCAACCCCGCCACGAGGTGGCTTTTTCGCACAATAAGCAGCCGCGCGCGTCGACGTCGAAGGGGCGGGCTCCGACGACCTTCCGTTTCCGGTTCTCGTTTCGTAACAACGCCGCGAACCAACGAACGAATGAACGAACGAACGAACGAACCTGACGAGAGATCAAGAGAAAACGTCCGAGCCTCTTGCCGGATATCAGGTCGCGAGTGGGAGGTTGACCCGGGGGAGATTCCACTGTTGTTGTTTTACTACTAGTATTCCGCAACGCGCGTCCTCTTTTGCCTGGGGACTGCCTCGCGAGAGCGAATCGCGCGCAGAGATTCCGCGCGAATGGACCTCGCGTGCAGACACGGTTGCGCCAGAACTGACACTAGGCCGCGAACACGAGTAAAACTTCGCGAAGTGGCGAGGCTCGTTCCTCTCCGACTCCGACGGCTCGTCCACCTCTTCCTCCTCGCGAGGAGGCGCGAGCCTGGTGGGGCGAATCGGGGGAGATCGTCGAGGGGCAGTGAGAGGTAGGAGAAGTACGCGCGTGTACCAACGAACGCGTGTGTGTGTGTGTGTGTGTATGTACCTATGTACGCGTATCCACGTGTGTATATGTGTGTGTGCATGATCTGTGTGTATAAATGTATATATGCGCGCGCGCGCGCGCGCGGGCGAGTGAGCCGCAACGTGCGCCCGAGTAATGCGGATGCATTGCTAACGGAGAGACGGAGAAGGAGGATGCGGTGCGCGAAAGTACGAAGGAGACAGAGAAAGAGAGAGGGAGAGAGGGAAGAAAGGAGGACGAGGGAGAGAGAGAGAGAGAGAACGATAGGAGAGTCAATGAACGACTCCGAGATCGCCACGCGATGAGAATTTCACGGTTGCAGAGGCGGAGAGCGCGCTGCTCGCGCGGTGATGCACGGGTCATCTGTGACGAGAACCGGGTCGTCAGATTTCCCGATAGAGAAGCGCACGAGCGGCGTGTTCTCGAGAGACACGAGTGTCGCAAAAAGGTGACTCTTGCTTATGCCGAAAGCGCGATTACGTCTCTTACGTAAGCGGCGAGCACCGACGGACGCGCGGCGGCACTCGAGAGACGACGCCGTCGAGGTTATGTGACTCCGACGGCGACCGACGCGGTGAGAAATGCGATGAGAAGGAATGCCATAATAGAATCAGAGATACACGCGATAAAACGTCCGAGCGAGCATAAACTGGCGAAACTTTCCGCAGGACGAGCGAGAATCAACGAATCGCCGCGCCAACACAAAGAGGTTATGTCTACGATTTCGCAAAGATCAAGATCGTGTTGTACCTGTACACCCGGAATCACGGTTCACGCTGACATCGCGGATAATCCTGACTGCCGTCCGAATCGGACAATGACGGGGTCTCGAGGAAGTTTCGTGCCTCAGCACCGGACAATCCGAACACGCGCGAACGGTCTCGTCGTGTCGCGAATGAAAACTGAACGCGCACTCCGTCGCGCTTCGATTCTCGCGAGCGAGCGAGGGGCGCGATAAGCGTCAACTTCAGACGGCACTCTGCGACATACCTGCGTCGTCGTCCACGCGACTCTTTCTTCGTTTTCGCTCGCTTCACGGCGCACCTGTCTCGCCGGAGGCGGTCAGGTAGGTGGGAATGATTCCGACGGCGAGGGACCTCGTCGCGAGGGAAGTGCGGCACCGCGGTCGGGACTTGTAGTTGCACGCGTGAAACGGCTAGCCGGGTGAGTGACATGCGTGTGCTCGCGCGTGTGACGTGGCGTGTGTGCGGAAGTATATCGATCAGCTGACGGTCGGGCGGATACTGGGCCGCTTCGCGGAATTCACCATATTGTTGCGTCGGAACGCATGCGCCGAGCCCTCGTCCCTTCGTTCTGTCACTCTCCCTCTCCCCCCTTCCCCGGTCTCTTTTCTTCCCTTACTCTTCCTCCCCTTTCTCCCTTCTCCCTTCCGTCCCTGCGCGCCCTTCCGCCCCCCCCCCCTCCCGTAGCAGACGCCACCAACCCCGCGATTTTGTCCGTCGTATGTACAGGGTGATTCAGCGGGGGAACACGAGAATCCGATATTTTGAGGACGCGAGGGGTTCCGGAGGGGGTCGAGAAATAGTCCGCAAGGTTTTCGCGGACTGCTAGACGAGAATCGATCGGTCGGTGAAAGAAAGAGAGAAAGAGAACACGATTTCAATTCGACAAATATAGCTAAAAAAAGGCGAAATAGCTTCGCGAAATAGACAGAAACGAGTCGAAATTTTAGCCCTACTTTGGACCTGAACTTTCCAACATCTATACATTCTGAAAGATCAGTGTATATGGAATACACATAGAAATTGAAATCCTGCTTAGTGCCTCTAAATGACAGAAAACGCACAAAATGTCACTAGCAGGTTCTAAAGTGGACCTCCTGGCAAAGATAGTAAATTAAATGAAACCAAAAGAGGTTCATGTATATAAATTTCAGAATGTGAAAGTAGGCATTAAATGGAATATTGGGACTGAAAGCAGAATGAAAATTTCGACTCGGCAAGTGTCGATGTGAAGCGATTTATAGAAGATGAATCGCGCGCAAACTCGACGACAGGGCAGCGATCATGTGACTTTTTCATAAAAGCGGAAAAGTTTCACGTGAACTCAACAGCTTTAGCGATCGTGTAACTTCCTCGAAAAATGGAAATGTGAGAATTTTCACAAGAAACTTTTCACTTTTCACGAGCCTGCGTCAGGAGGAAAAGATACACGATCGATACTCGGGGATGACGAGAGATTTCCTCGTGGTGAAAGATGCAGCAAGTAGAACCGCGCAAGCTCAGCGCCGAAAACATCTTTTTAATAACGCGATTTATCGTTAGCGAAGTTCCTCCTTAGCCCCTCTCAACCCTCGGAGATTCCGCACATCGCGTATTACGCGCGTGTCGCGTCTCGGTGATTTCCACGTATATCCCTTCTGCGTTTCACTTGCCCTCGTCTCTGACCATCCACTTTCTTCGCCCGTTCTTTCCATTTCCCAAGCGGATGAGCAGCTTCCTCGCCTCGATATATTGCTGCTCAATATGCTAATAGCCCGGTCCTACTTCATCATACCGACTAAATTGCATTATCGTGTACATAAATTTGTCTATTTCCCCGTCCACTCCACTCTCCCTCACCCTGCTCTACCTTCTATCGGATATCCTCCTTACGTTCTCGATTCTCGAACAACGCGCGTTTTCCTTCCCGACTGCACCTTCACCGTGTACTCGCCGGCAATACGCTGGTACCCGCACGACTTTCTCCGATTTCCCCATTTCCGCATTTCCCATTTCCATCGCTTCGTAACTCCGAAAGGCCCTTAACCGCGCGGCGATACGTGTTTTCCTTCCGCGCGAATCGCGATCGAGTGTGCGCGGAATATTAACGAGGAATCGCGGCCCGCGACTGCTTTTTTAAAATTGCTCTGTTTATATATGCATTAATTTTAGAAGAATTCTCCTGAGGTTATATACAAGGATAAGATCTTTGAGGATTCACTGAAGATTCCGCCGAGGATGAGATTACATTTTTTTGGAGCGCAACAATGCCGAATAATTCGCATACCGACTCGTCCTCTTGAAAAAAGACATTTTGCTGCTTGTACCATTAGTTAGATCTGCGCGATCAAAGAGCCGGTCTAATGACGAACTAAAAAAAAATGGATAACGGCGAGCGGACTGATTAATGTTCGGCAAACACGTGTAGCAAACCGCGGTGTCCGCCATCGATCCCCTTTCTTTCCGTGCTTAAATTACGTCCGTCCGTTCCCCATTAGCGCGCTTCGTCGAGATATTAACAAACCGTAAAGAATTCGAGAGAAGTACTTTTTAGAGTGGTGATAACAGAACGTGACGGTATTAGCGAAACTATGGATCAATAAATCAACACGTTTTAGCTGAAAGGCACAGAAATTCTAAAAATCAAAAATTTCGATTCTAAAAACCAGAAATTCTCTCTCCTTTAACTAAAACGCTCTTTCATGTTTAGCAGTGACCAAACTTTCTTCTCCGTGTAGTAAATATTCAAATAACGCGCATTTCAGTTCCTAAAAGAGAAATAACATATATTTGATGAAAAGACAAGTCAACTAATGCAGAATATATGTATATATATACATACATATATATATATATATATATATATATATATATATATATATATATATATATATATAT